CATTAATTTACTGAGTAATTTACAGAGAATTTATCGAGTAATTTACTGATAAATTACCGAATAACTCACTCATTAATTTACTTGTAATTTACTGAGAATTTAGGGAGTAATTTATTGAGAATTTACTCAGTAATTTATTTAGAATTTACTGCGAATTGACTAAGAAATTTACTAATAAATTACTAAGCTCTTCACTGGGTAATTTAGTTGGAAATTACTAAGTAAATGATAGTTTTCTATACCCGGTTCTGGGGTTAACCCTCTGCTGAGACACGTGGCGGCGACTGATTGGGTTCATCCTGAAAAGGTGGCTGACAGGCCAGACAAAGCATGGTGGAAAGGGTGTTCAACAAGCAAAGCAGTATGGGCTTTCTGACAGGTTATGACATCGGCTAACAACAAGGCGTATCTAACAAGCTACACAGAATGACACTCCGGCAAGGGGTGACATCGGCTAACAAAGGACTTCGGCAACTAAGGTGACAATGACCTCGGCTAGGAAGGACAACACTTGACTAAGCTGTGCCACATCTTGGCCTAGATGCGCCACACCTCGGCCTAGGTCATACCACTCCAGGACGAGATCACTTGGGTGCAAGGTAACATCTCGGCTAATGTGGTCAAGGCAAGGATGGAGGTCAACAAGGGGTTCCAGGATACTACTAGACTAAGGATGACCTCGGCTTGGAATAACATCGGCTAGCATAACTCAGGCAAGGCGTGACCTAAGTTTCACATCAAGGAAGGAACAAGACAAGCATACTACACTTAGACAAATCACAAGGCTTCAAAACAAGGCATGGATCACATTAGCTCAAACGAAACAAATCACAAACATACACATGCAAACTTAACAAGTCATAATCATACTGAGATCATAAAATGTGGGTTCCTACAACATGGCAATAGTGTTGATAAACAATTATATAAAGGATTGAAGGAGTGAAGTGTAATTTACCGAATATAAAAAGAAGCAGAAAATGCAAAGAGGAGAAAAGGGGATGACTGTGAAGTTCATTAAGTGAAAATAAGATAAAATATAGGCTGCAGTGCCAATCTTGTTTACATATCAGGTGACCATTTTATTATTTTGGTGAAAAAATCAACGATAGTTTTATAGGTTGAAGTGAGTTAGACAGTTGTGTATTTACTTGCATTCTGTTTCATAGTTGTTTATGAATAATATTACTTTAAAATAAAGAAAATTAAAGCCGCTATTTCATTTTATGATTTCATTTATAAATTTTTGAAAACATCAATTTGTACTGAAATCGTCAATTCGAAGTGACTACTTACTGTATTAAAAAACGTAAGCATGAAAAAATAGTTTCATGTGGCGATGTGACAACTCACTGCATTACTGATTAATTTGACAACTCACTGCTCGAATATGAAGGGATTGCATTATGAAAATGACGGCCTACAATTATGATTTTATCTAACAACCACGTCCGTGACTACATCACAGGTATACAAAGTCACGGGTACTCAGGATTGCATGAAATGAATAAGATAAAATAATATCACGGGTATCACTTCTTCCATAGTGCCCTAACTCAATTATCGTCACCAGATCACTCTAGTTAACCCCCAGTATGATGTTTATAAATAGTGCTACCCCCAGTATGATGTTTGTTCAAGTCATAACAATAGTAATATATCTACAATTACTATTATTATTAAATTTTTTATTTTATGAACAATGTCTTTAAGAGGTGCAGGAAGTTCACGCCGGTAAAGAAATTCGAAAGCGTGGCTGCTACCTCCATTTACTTATGACTACAAGAGCGAAAAGTACTCGTGTTCGAAGGATTATTATGCTGGTATCCGAGTAGAATAGGCGTTCAGGGTAACGGAGCAAGAAGGATTGTTTAATGATCTACGTAACTTTGGGGCACCGGTACCTCATCGTCGTTCATTGACCATGGCTAGACGAAATGTGAGTGACTATGAAAAAGCAGTTAGCAGAATTAAGGAGAACAACAAAATGTTGATGTGGGGATGTCGACATTTCATGCTTCAGCTAGCCACCGAAATAGCAGAAATAAGCAACAGAGATTTGACAGTGATTAAGCGAAATAATGTCTTAAATAATGAAAAATATCTCTCTGACTACTACATGTTAGATGAGAAATGAGAAATCAAACACCTTTATCTTTCATATAAGTTTGTATGTTGTGTTGTATCTTCGTTACTAGAGTGTAAGCCAATGTTGTTGTTCATCTAACTTACGGATGTATTTCAAGTTATTTGTTATATGAACCTGAAGTTTATGAAATAACTACATTTACAAGTATTTTCTTTATTAGCTCATGACTTTTTTTATTGAATTGCAATGAGTTAATGAATGTTCTGGATTAATGAATGGATTAATGTATGTTGAATTATGTGAATAATTAGGGTTTTTTTTTTTTTCAAACATGATATACAACTCCATTTTTTGTACCTACTTTATAGACTCAGTGATGTGTGAAGAAGATGATTGGTTGATAATCAGATAATATTTAATTATCAACCAATCCTCTTCTTGACATATCAGTAGATTGATAAAGTTTTTGATGCTGTACTTTATTTAGTTTTTTTAATTTTGTTTATGAAATTTTGAAGTATTTCAAAAAAATATTTACATGTTAGATGTTTATGGAGACATTTAAAAAAACTTAAACTTATTTTAAAAATTCGTGTTAATAATTTTTTTTATGATCTTTATGAGAGTATTACTAGGAGTGTCATGAAAATTTAATATCAAAGAGAGAGAGACAGAAAGAGAAAACAAAATTAAGGTTTGTGCTTTCAAATTTGTAGACACTAAAAGTGTCATGAAAATTTACCCCCACCAATTATCCCACAAAATGAAATTAAAATAGAAATATAATATCATGAATACAAGTAAACACAAAATCACAACAATGCTGCATTGCATAACAACAATATATTGTACAAGTTCACATTAGAAACATACAAAACTTAATGCACCATCTATTCCAATAGAACATGGAAAATAATAGGGAGAGGAAAACAAATGCATTTTCACAGATAAAACAGAATTGTTAGCTGGAGAAACAATTTCAAAGCCAAGTGGTTAGTCTAATTAGGGGACTAATAAAGTTACGACAGACGAACTGCCGCCTTCAACAGCACAGAAAACAAAACAGGTAGCTCAGTTAAAAGCTTCCCTTAACTGGGGCTCCTTAAATACTGATCTTGTACGTAAAGAATTTCAGTCTCCATCAGGAAAGATGAAAGAGTCGTCTTCCAATTCTTGGAAGTCCAGTCAAAATGATGACTCTGGTAAGGAATAGGGGGTTGACAGAAAACTAAACTTGGGGGTTGGACAAACAAGCTCAAAGCCAAGTGGTTGGTCCAGTTGGGGGACTAATAAAGTTCAGACAAACGAACAATGCACAGTGAAATTTATGAATTAACATGAGAACGACTTTAGTAAAGCCAAAAAAAATTTATGAATTACATTAACACCAAAACAATGACAACAGAAAAAAATAAAAATAAAATAAAATAAAATTTAAATGAACAGTAAAAGCGTGGTTACAATCCACGCTTCTGGTATTCAACAGTGAAAGCGTGATTGTGAATCACGTTTTATTAAAAAAAGAAATATGCACAGTGAAAGCGTGGTTTGGAGCCACGGTTTCTTTAAAAAACAAATGCACAGTGAAAGTATGATTTGGAATTATATTTTCTTCAGAAAACAAAATTTAATTATAAGCACAGTAAAAGCGTGGTTTCAAATCACGTTTTATAAAAAAAACAAATTTTGCTTAAAAACGTATTTTCTAACCACGCTTGATGTATAAATGAAATTTTCTTAAAAACGTAGTTATAAATCACGTTTTCTTAATTAAAAGCGTGATTTGTAATCACGTTTTTATTATTTCACAAATTTTTTGAGGGAGGGCCTGGAAACACTGAAAGGGTAATTTGTAACGTTTTAATCTAATTTAAAAATTCCGTTTATACTGGCTTGTTTGAGAATTAAGTTACTATTTTTGCTTAATTTGGGAAAAGCCCCCGCCTCAGCCTTCGGCCGCCACCCACTCGCTCAGCTCCACCACCACCAGCTCTCTTCCGCCCCGCTCTCTTAGATCCGCCGCCACCCACTCCCCTCAGATCCCCCCATTGATATCCCTCATCTACCTCCCCTGCCTTAGGTCCTCCACCGTCAATCTCAACCTCCACGACTCCAAGTTCTCGCTCCCTCCCTCCCTCCCATTTTCTACCCAGCAGCAGGCAATTACGAAAGTCCATTCAACATCGGATTACCTATCCCTGAAGTAGTGACAGTTACCACAAGGGCAAGAACCAAGCAACAATCATCTATACCTGGTAACCAATTTCTGCCATTTCACTATATACGATATATTACAAGTTGGGTTTCTTTCCACAATCTTAGGTTTTTTTTTTTTAATTTAATTTATTTATTTTTTATTTTAGATTAGAGTATGGAGTAAATTCTACAACATATGTTATTGGGTATAATATGTAAGCATTGAGAGTAGCAGCACTTTTATTACGATTTTGATTTATAGATTTTAACGTGTGGATGAAGAGAGTACTTTAAAAATGTCTTTAATTTTAGCAGACTTTAATTTATTGCATATAATTTTTGTATTTATATTTTGGGAGATGTTGTTATGTGCACCCTTAAAAGGGTGCATGTGGTATATGCCCACCCATCGTAACAACAACACAAAATTAAATTTTGTAACATTAATCATAAAATTACATAACTTTTCTCACCACCAAAAATTTAACTTTCCCTTTAGGGTGCACACTATGAATTCTTAATTCGCAACTTTTATCACAAATTGGCATAACAGACCACAAAAAAATTGTACCTTTCTTAGGGGAGCACATCATAGATTTCCCTTATTTTAAGCAATAGACAAGCAAAAGTATTAAACTTATTTAGACATCTCTTCCAAGTTCCCACTACCCACTCAAACTATCTCAAGTTTTTTTTCCCCCTACTTTTATTTTCTTGCTTTCTTCACCTTCAACCTTCTCCTTATCTCTTAGGGGGAGTCCCAATGCTCCGAGTAGTAGGCTATTTTTCCTTGGAATTGATTGTAATGAAACTGTTCATGTTATTTAATGTAGTTTATTTTTGATGCTATAAATATATCCTTCTAATTTACACCTTCATGATGTTTGCAACGAGGGAGGGGCGTCATGGCTAGAGAAGGGCGTGGGTTAAGGGTTTTGGCTTAAGGGAGGGGGTCGTGGTGAAGGGGGAGGAGGTGGCGGCGACGGGGAGTGCACAGAAAACAAAACAGGTAGCTCAGTCAAAAGCTTCCCTTAATTGGGGCTCGGCTGGCCAGAGTTGGGGAGGTGATAGCCGGAGTAGGGTTTGGTTATTTTGGTAATTTGATTGAGCGGTAAAATGGTGTTAAAAAAAAGAAAGATGGGGTGTCCAAGAAAAAAAATTGGGGTGCATTTAGAGGCTTCCTTTTATTGTAATTGGTTTAGACAATGGGGTTCACATATTTATGTTGGTATTTGAGGAAAAACATGAGACATATTTATGATTGATGGAGGGTATCACATGACACCATCCCAGCACTAAATAATTTTTCCAGTTTTCACATTGACAAAGGACAACTTAGACCTGACTTTTTGATGATATTCTATTTCATTTCATTTTAAGTAGCCCAACCTCCCATGTGACTTTGGTTCCTTGACAAATTAGGCCCTAAAGGGACCCATTTCAGCACTTATCCATTTTGATTCAACAAACCATCAAGTTAAATAAGTTATAGCTTTTTAAATAGGTTGCTCAACTCTAAAAGTAAGGCATAAGCCTATGTTCCCATCAAGCGAAGACAACTAAGATGCCAACTCAAGAGCCTCCCTATCACTAAGATTTTTAATAAAATTAAAATTCCATGAAATTGAGGCCAAACTAGAACATGCCAAAGATGTAATGGAAACATTCTGACAACAGACCACTCTATATAAGAGTGGGAAAGCCTTATCAAACGAAGAATCTCCCATCCAAACATCCTCCCTAAAACAAACATTTTCCCCATTTCCCACTTTCAAAGATAGGAATCTTGACACGAGTGGTAGAATGCGAGAAATTGACTTCCATGGGGAACGACAATTACCCCTACTAACCACAATGGAATCTTTAACCGCAACATAATCAACTTAATTAATGAAGTTGAGTTTCAACTCAAGCCTCGGTGGAATAACCATTTGAACTAATTATAGTGATGAGATAATAAAGTAATAGAATTAAAGGTTTATGTAAATTGAACCTAAAACAAAGAATATTTAAATTTGGGGACTAAAGGACTTGGAAACCAATAGACATTCAACAAAGATAGAATTGTCTTATTTAGTCCCTTCTCCCTAGTCCACTTGCATCATGGACTTCTAAATAAATTTACTTTATTCGCATCAATAGGCTAACAAGTCATCTTGGTGTGGCCAAGATCTTACTGAAAACATTTGTCCATATCAATGCAGTGGATGCAAATCTCATAAATACCCATGTTTGGTGTATTTTAATTTCGAAATGTCAAATTCAAATTAAGCATATTGAAATTGTTTAGTGGTTGGCCAAGAGGGGGAGGGGGTGTTCAATGGGTCTTTTTGTACAATTGGAATGCTATTCAACAAATTGTGCAACAATTAGCATCTTGAACAAAATAATTTATGATAAAGTAAATCAAGAAGCAATATAAAGATATAAACAACCACAAGGGACACAAATCTAAGTGGGAACCCTTCAAAAGGTATAAAACAATGAGCTAAGTGGGGTCCCACTCCTTTTAGATTTGAGAATTTGTGGGTTGAGCACCATTCATTTAAGAATTGTTTTGAGGAGTGATGGGGTAGTTGTTGGGTTCAAGTATAGAAGGCTTTTGAATTTATGAAGAAACTCAATTTGGTGAAGGAGAAGTTTAAGGTGTGGAACAAGGAGGTTTTCAAGGATTTGAAAGAGATGAAGGATTGAATTGTGAATAGGATTGAACAATTGGATATCATTAATGCAATGGAAAGTTTAGATGAGACTCTTAGAAAAGAAAGGTTTGAACTAAATTTCAAATTTGAGAAACATATTTTTTAGAGTCAAAAGTTAAAGATGAATTGGCTATATAAGAAGGGGATAAGAAATCAAAACTTTTCATATACCACATATGGCAAGAGGAAAAATAAGTTCAATAAAAGGTTAGAAAAACAATTTTGGGGTGTTTGTAGATAAGGAGGATTAGATTGTTCATGAGATTTTTTTCATTTTATTCCGGGTTGTATTTTTCGAGTCAGGTTGTAAGGCTTAGGATGGAAGGTTTGGATTTTTCTCCAAATGATGGTACTAGATCCTGTTGGTTGGAAAGACCTTTTGATAAGATAGAAATTGGAGTGATAGTCTTCTAGTGTGCAAAGGATAAGGCTTTGGAACTTGATAGATTCTCTATGGCTGTTTTTTAAGATTGTTGGGATGTGGTTAAGAATGATTTGATAAAGATATTTGCTGATTTTTTTTTTTCTTCTGAGAATGGCATTATCAATGGTTGCATTAATTGTACTTTTATTTGTTTGATTTCATAAAAGGAGAATCTTTAAAGATCAATGATTTTAGGCTGATTAGTTTTGTCACCTCATTGTATTAAATATTGGCAAAGGTGTTGTCTAAGAGGTTGAGAGCAGTGTTAAATTATACCATTTCTTCTTAGAGTGCTTTTGTGGAGGGTTGCCGAATTTTGGATGTTGCTTTGATAGTAGGTGGTGGAGTATAGCAAATGAGGCAATGGAGGAGTACACATAAGGAGTTATCTTTTAAGATTGATTTCGAGAAAGCATACACATAAATTAAGGGGTTGTAGATTTTGTTATGTAAAAAAGGGGTTTGGAGGTAAGTGGAGGAAATAGATTTGGGGTTTGTCATCTTGCAACTTGTTGGAGCATTTTATGGCTTCTATAAGTTTAAATGAAGGTGACCTTTTATGCCCTTTTTTGTTTACTTTGGTTGTTTATGGTTTAGTTAAATTAGTGAATAGGGCTACGGGGGTTCCCTTTGTAATTGGTAGGGATTGTATTTTTGTTTCTTATCTATAGTTTTTGGATGATATAATTTTCTTTTGTTATGGTGATAAGGAGAGATGGGTCAATTTGCTTTTGGATTTGAGAATTATTGAAGTTATTTCAGGGCACAAGGTTAATATGCGCAGCAATCTAAGGAGCACGGACACTTCTAAGAAGGTGACATATTTGTGTTGTATCCTTGTCGGACACAAACACTCTTTGGACACTCTTAGGATACGTGTTCGACACTCTTCAAAACGTGTCCTATTTTTTAATTTTTTTTAAAGATTCGGACATTCTTTAGACACCTGGAGGTCACACGTGTCAATCGCTTAAACACACGTGTCTATCGATTAAACACATGTGAAACTAATTATAAGTTTGAACAAAACAACTTAAGATACAATAATAAAACAAAGCCCATATAAATTTGTAGGAATTAATGCCATATTGCATTTTTTATTATCTTTGAATGACATATTTATATATATAACATATAATAAATATATAAAATTATATATTTCATGCGTGTTCCTCACGTGTCGTGTCCGGTTTTTTTTGAAAATTAACATATTGGCGTGTCCGTGTCATATCTATGCCGTGTCACGTGTCTGTGTCTATGCTTCTTAGGTAACAATACTATGGTGGGAATCAATTTGGCACATATTATATTGAGTCAGATTGCTAGGATTTAGGTTGTTTCATTGAATATTTACCATTTAAGTATTTTGGTTTTCCTTTATGGGTAATCCTAGGAGGGTTAGTTTTTTTTGATCCGGTAATTGAAAAGGTTGGGAAAGGAAAAGAGCCCTGATTTTTAGTAGGGGTTATGTACATTATAGTCCGATCAGTTCTGTACAATGTACCTATTTACTACGTATCTTTATTTAAGAATCCATTGGGAAGGTTTTGTGGTAAGGTTTCGACAAGGGTAAGAAACAGTGTTGTAAAAGGCGCGCCTAGGTGTAAGGCGGTGACTTGTACAAGCCCAGGTGCAATGCATTTGAAGAAGCGCAGCAAGGTGCGCACCTCGAGTGCTTAAGGCGCAAGAAAAGCGCGCTTTATTCATGTTCTATATTTGGTTTTTGTTTTAATCCCGACTGTTGATTTACATTTTTTTTTTTGGGGGGTGGGGGGTCTATGATGCAAATATATGTGCTATTACAGTGGTTTAAAGTTCTCAAATATACTGCCACAAAAAAAAAAAAAAAAAAAAAAAAAAAAAAAAAACCTTTCATCGATACATTAAATAGAGAAAAATCCTAACAGAAAGAAGTCCTAAAGTTGACTTCTTC